GGTTTCTGCTATACGGAAGTTTCCAGAACCTGCAACTAAGAAACAGGTTAGATCATTTTTCGGACTGATAGGTTTTTACCGAAAATTTATACCACAGTTTTCAGACATATCCGTCCCGTTAACTGACCTAACAAAGAAAAATGCACCAAATAAAGTTAAGTGGTCAGATACAACACAAAAATATTTTGATAAACTTAAAGATTGTATTTGTAGTGACTCTGTTTTACGGAGTCCGGATTTTTCTAAAAAGTTTATTTTGCAGACTGATGCGTAAGGGAAGGGTCTAGGTGCTGTATTAGAACAGGAGTTTGACGACGGAAGGCGTCTAATCATGTTTATCAGCAAGAAACTTTCTGGAGCTGAGTGTAACTATGCAGTGGTAGAAAAAGAGTGTTTTGCCATAGTTTGGGCGGTAAAGATGTTAAGGAATTATCTTGAGGGTAAAAGAGTTTACTATTTGTACTGATCATGCTCCTTTACAGTGGTTACAGAGGATGAAAACCAGTAACCAACGGTTTCACAGGTGAATTTGAAATCAGTCGACACATGGCCATTGAATAAAACACACGCTTGTGCGGAGTCTAGAGTTGGTAAAAGTAGCAGTTGGGTATTATAATTGTCAGTTTAGGACATGGATATCCCAAGGCTTATTATAACAACACTCAGGTAAGACATTTGTACTTATTTATATCGTTCATTGAGGTCTATTTTGCCGTCGAGATGATATTTCTTACTCGCGGTCCAGAATGACGGAATAATTGCTGTATCATGCAAATGTAAAGATAAAGTAAGTAATTGTTGGGTTCAATATTTATTTTGCAGGGGTTTTTAAGCCCCGTTTTGGTGTGCGTACAGCACGTAGTAAATACCGTCGACTGGTCGGTGATATATGGTGTCGGAGATACAAAGGGTATTATTAGTAATATGGTTACAACTCGATGTTTGCTGATATCAATTACAACGCCTAGAGTCGGTGAAAATATCCGTTATAAATATACAAAGAAGTCCGTTTGAATATATGTTAAACGAATCGAGCAGTCCGTGTAGTATTATGCAGTTTCAAGTCGTCATTGCTCATTGAAGTTATCATTGCAGTAAAAGTATAAAGTCTAGTGTTCTTTTCATCAATTTAGAATCAACCAAAAATGTGTGAAAATAGTTATTTTCTGTCCGTTTTATATTAAAAGAAATTCAAGGGGAACAACCCAAAGTTATTCTACAGTACGTGCAACGTTCAACCTTTATCGGGAAGTGTGCAGAGTGGATGGAGATGTGCGGACTGTAATTGTTTAATTTCATTTTGTTTATTTCATAACATTATATTTTGTTCTGTTTTGTGTGTGTTTATTTAGTTACATTTGCATGTATTCATTTCATTATTTCATTTATGTTGAATTTACTTTACTTTTGTTTTGTTTATTAAATTTATATTTAAATTTAGTTTTGTATAACATTGGCCACTTGACAATCCAAAGAACTTAATTCTTTACAGGTATCACACAACAAAATAGTTCATATCAATAAAAAATTCTACGAATTATTAAGGTAGAAATTCTAAAAATTTAATTTAATAAAACAACCCGCTATGACAAAGGTAAGCAAAAAGAAAGTGTCAATATAATACAGAGACGGCACACTTATGGTTCATATAAACACAGATAGCGAATAAAAACAAGCCCCTCTAGCGTCCATTAATTAAGGATCTGTAAAAGGCAGCTCTCTGAACAACTACGTAACTCTTCTCCCATTATGAAAAGGTGTTAGAATTTAACACAGCCTTTCTCCCAAATGGTTGCCTCTCAACTTAGTCTTAATGAGCACAATTTAAATGTACTCAATCTGTTTCATGAACATTTTCGAGGAGGGGAATTGGCCTACTAAAACTATAATAACAGATCTTTTTCCCATTGTTCTAGATAAATTCATGAAGTTGTGAAATAAAATTATGCACAAAGCTTTAAGAATATAAAAATCTACTCATCTAGGTAATATAAATAATAAAAGTGTACTTTAAGAAGAGTAAAAACTAATAAGATCTTAAATAATAAAAAAAAACAACATATATTCTAAATGGCTATGTGATTAAAGCGGGAAAACATCATTGTAGAAATAAAATAAACTATTACAAAATTCATTAGTATAATAACATAAACGATACCAATTTTTCTGCACCAGATGCTCATTTCGACCATCAATATCTCTTCAGTGATGATCGAGGCCAAAATATTTATAAATCCTAATATAAGCTTATTAAAATTATTAAGAGCTATTAACCAAAAACGACCAAAAAGTATAGCCAAAGCTTGGCAAGGAATCAGAGCTTTGCATGAGGGAGATACATTATATTTTATTTTTTTTCAAACACCATCTGGTATGGAGTATAGTTATTTAATCATTTTTTTTTAATGTAATATATCTTAAAAATTACTGTATAATTAATACTATATATATATGCATATGCCCGGAAACAAGCCCTTTAATTGGAATCAATAAATATTCTTATTCTTATTCTTATTCTTCCTTGATTAAAAAAAATTTTCAAAATTTTGTAACAGCAAATGTTAATAACACAAAGTCCGCCTTTCATGCCAGTACAAAAGTACTGGCTACTAGGCTGGTGATACTCTCGGGGACTTTCATTCCACCAGTAGAGACATCGACCCAGTGGAAGTAATAACATAAACGGTACCAATTTTTTTGCACCAGATGCGCATTTGGACAATTAATGTCTCTTCAGTGATGCTCGAGGCCAAAATATTTGAAAACCTAAGCTCAGTAAAATTATGGAGAGCTATAAACCAAAAAAGACAAAAAAAATTTAGCCAAAACTGGGCAAGGAATCAGAGCTTTGCATGAGGGAGATACATTCCTTGATTTTAAATAATTTCCAACATTTTGTAACAGCAAATTTCAATTACACAAAATCCGTACTTTCATGCCAGTACTAAAGTACAGGCTACTGGGCTGGTTATGCCCTCGGGGGCTATCAGTCAACTGGTAGTAATAGCATAAACGGTACCAATTTTTCTGCACTATATGCGCATTTCGACAATCAATTTCTCTAAAACATCCATGTCTAATTTTAACAGTAACCTTTCAATAGAAATTTCTCAAAAATATTCGCTTGAAAACAATATTCTTCAGCATTATTATCTGCCTTCTAAAGTGAAAATTAAAATGAAGTAAACAACAATAATAAAGTCATAATTTATTTATTTTTTGTAAATAACAATAACGAAAATACAGTGTATAGGCTGTCCTCCAACCGTCTTGTAGTTTCGAATTAGATCTGATGGTATGACAAAGCCCTCATGTGTCCCCCTTTTGAAACTTGGTCGCCTTCCTATGTTTTTCGTACCAATTTCTATCTTTCGTTATCACGCAGTATAAAAATTGTGGATAGATGACCACTGATAAACGGACGAAAAATAGGTAACTGTACGTTAAAGATTTGATCTATCTTCCTTTTCTATTTTGATTTTGGAAAATTAAAATAATTTTCAATTCACCTGCAACAAACTTTTCCAATATAATGGAAGTGAGAGTTTTAGCTAGCTATAAATCCAGATTTAATTCTCCATTGTCTACATAAGGAAATGCTTGTACCAAGTCAGGAATATGACGGTTGTTATCCATTTGTTTGATGTGTTTGTTTTTGACATTTGATAAGGGACTTTCCGATTTGAATTTTCCATGGAGTTCGGTATTTTTGTTATTTGACTTTTTACAATTCAACTGCTAAATTTCTAATGTATATTGACATATTCAAACTGCAAATAATTTTGCGGGAAATACGGTAGTTTTCTATGAGAGGCGGTTGTGTATTTTTGGGTTTTCAGATGATGATTTTTTTCACAGAATTGTTGCTGTGTGCCGATGCGATAATTCAAGCCTTATCCAATTGATTTGTATACTTTGTTTTTATGCTGTACTGCTGAATGTAAAACACAGTCAAATACTATAAGGGGATTTAGTGGCAACATATGTTAAAACCACCCTAAGGATGTATTAAGTCTGTAGCCTGTACTATAAAGGTCGTTTGTTGCGGTCTGCTTAATTTGTTTTTAACTCGCTGTTTTCGCATAAATTTGCCTGTTTGTTTTCTGTTTTAGATTTGCTTCAATTTTTGTAATGATGACGGTTTTGTAATATCTTAAAGTCACTCGCGTGGTGTGATTGGTTTGTGGACTGTGCATTTACAAAAGTGTATAAAGTTTACAGCTACTCCTCGTTTTCAATTGTTGCATTATGTGTTTCACACTTACGCTGTGTAAGGTTTAAATGCACTGCTTTTACTTTTGCAAAACGTCTAGTTGTTTTTATATCACATTTGTCATATTTGTAAAATTCCTTTGATCAAATCATATTGCAAAATACCTATGTATCTTTCATGTAATATACCAGCTATCAGATAATCAACACATACACAAATGGGACAGTAACACGAATTACATACTATCTAGGATTGCACCAGACAAATCTTGATAACCATCAAAATATAGAACATCACCTTACCCTTTGACCATGACTCCAGTTCTCATATTATGGAAGCAGAAACGATCATACTAGGGCGAAATGCATATTTGTTTAGTCCGATGACGACTAAGGATGTTCGATCCTCTGTTACAAAATAACAAGTTTTTTCAAAGACTGTTATAAATTGATTTTCTTAAAATAACTGAACTTAAAACATGTAAAAACAAAGGGTCTGCATTCTTGTTTTTGAGATGCTAGCAATTGAGAATTTGACTGAAAATGACATGCTCTAAATTTTTAATACATATAACATTGAGACCTTTTTCTTTCAAAATTATGACAAAATTAATTACGTTTTTTTAGATTAAAAAAATGACTTTGAAAAACAAATATAAAAAGAAAAAAGAGTTCGCGAACACGCTTTTTTTACTGACACTTCATGGATATAACAAGAGGATTCCAAATATCTGTTAACAAGTCAAAAATCAGAGTAAAGATCATCTGTAAATAAGAAGACTACAGAGTTAAAAGAACATAGTTTATTGTTTATTTGCCAATTCCTCCATAACAACGACAATGGGCATCAACACAGTGAGCATTTCCGATTCTGCATTTAGTACTAGAGCAATCGCTTGCGCCTGTGCATGCTGCAAAAATAACATTATATTATTAGTTAAGATACTACAAAAGCAATACATACATGTTAGTAGAATAGCTTATTGTTGAAATTCTTCTTAGATAAACAATTGAACATCTGGAATAAACAAACAAAAACTGTTCTCTTTTTGAAAGATATAAATTATTTCAGTAATGCATGCTGCTTAAGTTAAAGGTGTTAACAATATATATCAACAGAAATGTTACAGCGAAATTTAAGGAAATCCCATCATTTACGTTTGTAATATATGTTTGATCTTCAAATATTTGGCCTGAAGGTTTAAAAAGAATACACTCCTTGTCAAAATATGCATGTGGTTGAAGAAAGTTTAGAATTGTAATCGTCTCCTTATTTAAACTATTTTTTAAACTGTTAGGCTTTCATAAGTCATAGAATAGTTGGTCAAATTTAATGTCAAGTTGAAATGCACTAAAAACTGTTCGAACTGCACCAAACATGACTAAGGCCAACTAGGAATGTAGAAGAACAAAACATATTTAAATTTTATTTCTTTTAAATTAAATTATTACCATTTCCAGCTTCGCCGTCACTGCACACACACTCGTGTCTTCCAAAGACTAATTGAAGACATTTTGATGCATGTCCTGATGTGCACTTTGTGTCTGTGCAATCAGAATCATTTGAACAGGTCTCAGCATAGATAGAGGCTGAAAAATTGTAAACTTTGAAGAGATATCTCTATATTGCAAACAAAAGCATAATCGTTATTCATATTAATTCTTTGTATTATGCCGTACATATGAGGAAGCGTTTTACAAAAGTAGTCCACATGTCAAAATCAACTGCAAGATAAGATATCATTCGCCAAGACAATAATCTTACTACCGATCATTGCGGTGGTTGCATTTATTGATTCCTTCTTGTGCGAAAGGACGACAAGAACCCATCATAATGTGTTTGTGGTTCAGTGTAATGTTTTAACCAGTTCATATCAGTCTTAACCTTTATACCGATGAACCAATTTTGATTAGAATTTCTGACAAACATTATTTCAACATATACGAGATTTCTGTGTTTATACTCAGCAGTGACATGTTTCGCTATCTTAGATCTTTAGATGCTAGAAAAGTCGTCTGATCTGTAATGTTATCGATTGTGTCCTTTTCCCAATTGTTACGTTGTGTTGTGTATGATTTGAATCTACTTGGTCTTTTAATGCAATTTGAACATCGGCAAACTACTGTTGTCTTTATTTATTGCATGCATGATATAAACCGTCTTTCCTTGCTTTTTTTGAATTCCCATCTACCAATTCATCTTAAATTGGCACTTCATTGAGGAGGGGGTTATTTCGTTCTATAAATACTGTTAATATTGGTCATCCACGCATCTCATAATACAAGTTAGGAGAGAACTGTGTTTCGACAAAAGGAGTGTAACATCTCCGCATGTTTTTGTTTTGTCTATGCGTAAATAAATAATTAGTTTTATATTTTTGAGACCCAGTCATGGATCACAGTGTCCAAGATTATCATAAAGCTTTTAGATTCGAAAAATGCATAGAATCATTGTAGTTTGACCATATTTCACAAATGTGCGGACTTTGAAGAGTATACTGTATTATAATTGAGAGATTTGTTTAACAGAGTATATCGGCTTTCAAAATAGTTCCATTTAGGAACCAATGTGTTGCCTTTTCAAATATTTTATGATAAAGATGATATTCAAAGCCATATTGTGCGAAAAGTATACGTTTTGGTTTAACATTGTGTAATTTTTTTATGTAGGTGTATTCAACATGTTATATCATTTTTTTATTAGAGGATCAACTTATCTATAGCATACGTATAGACCATTTAATTTTCGTTTAATTATACAGCACTTTAAATCATTGGTTTGTCCTAAAAAGTTATGAGGGAACCATTGCGAATTATGCATAAAAGAAGCTGATTGAAATATTTCTACACCAGATTTAGAAAGTGTTATTGTCATTTTTTAGCACTTTGTCGATGCCACTGTTGACAGACTGCTAGTCCCCGGGGACATTATTAGCTTATTATCAGTACTTAGGCACTGACATCTCTTAAAGATTCCTTTCTAAAATTATTCGTTGATGGCATTATAATCATTTAGAAACTAAGGAACATTCTTTTGGTGTCCTTTGTGTAACCTCGATCTTCAAGCATTCACGAAATTATACCTCTCTGGCTTTAGGTGGTTTTTTTAGCATTCCTTGTGGATATCAATCTAGAAAAGTACTTCGGAAGCACAAAGCATTTTTTTCATTTTTTATTTTTGCTTAATTAAGTTATCAAAATCAACCTTCGACTTTTGTATGTACTACTCCAAAATGCATTGAAAAAAGCAAACTTACCAACAAGACAAGCGAGTATAATTGCAACCTTCATGTTGTTACTAATCTGTGGAAAATAGTGAAATCAAATGGTTGCCTGTTATCTTAAATAAGGAGATAAAGTAAGGTTTGGACATTGATAGATTGTACATCTGTAAATCACGATTTTGTTTCGACCTGACAAGAATTTGGTCATGGGAGTTATAAATACTACATCATTGTGACATTTCCTTGGATTTCTCACGAATTGATTGGACGTCTCACATTTTTAGAATTAGAATTACTACATAACAACTTGAAAGGACAACAAAATGTGAAATTTCTTTACAACTTATAATGAGAACAACACCACCTATAAAACAAAACAAAATGACCCAAATATGGGATGAGAAACTTCAAAAATATATATCATACTAAAGAGTATCAAATAAGAAAAATGACATAACAAATTAACACGGAAAACACTCTAAGACTTATAATTTCAAAGAAATCTATTTCAGATATATTTGATTACAATATTGCAATATATATAACGAAAATTGTGTATTATGAATAAGAAGGATTTTACGAAAACATCTTGAAACTTCAATTATACGCAGATAACCGAAAATAAACTCTGCTCAGTTGAATATCAAATTGATACTGATCTTTCCCTCATAATTATTTGAAAGGTTTGAAAATAGACAACAACAATCTTTCATTCAGATTTATATTTCTTTTGCGGCATCTAAGACATTTGCTTATCCTTTAATCAAAATCTTCTCGTTCATATTTAGTTCTTGATTTATAGTTCAGCAAAACAAATTGACACTGCTAAACATATTTCAATAATAAACTCAGACCATTTCATTTGTTACTTACGACGGGACTAAAAAGTACGAAAGCTAATGTATCGGGAAACAATAAGATAATCAAAAAAGAACAAATGATATATGATTCTGTGAAAACATTGTTATTTGTTAGTTTGAATTGTCTTTGAGCGGGCTTTCATCAACTGTGGATTGAATGACATTCATTAGATGCGTATTTTTTTTTGTGAGGGAGGGGGGTTGATTGGGGTATCTTTTGTACAGAATTATTGTGCTGCATGCCGATTTGAAAAGTTAAGCCTTTTCCAACTGATTTGTATACTTTGTTTTTATGTTTTACTGCTCTAAGTTTATGAAGGGATTGAGCGGTTACAATTATGTTTAAGCCCGCCACATGTATGAGACTATTCCAAGTCTGTAGCCTGTAATATAATGGTTGTCGTTTATTGTCGTCTGCTTTATTTGTTTTTGTTTGCTGTTTTAGCATACATTAGACTGGTGGTTTTCTGCTTTAGAATAATTTCACATTTTATAATGCCAAGGGCTTTCATAGCTTGCTAAATGTATGGGATTTGATCATTGTTGAAGGCTGTGCAGTACCCTATAGTTCTAAACGTATTATTTATTAAAAAATGAAAACAGCAGGTTATAAATGTCATGCGTCCGAAGCGCTTTCCTGGATTGACCTTCATCAGGAACGTTCAAATCCGAGTCTTTGAAAGCCAATGATGTATGAGAACCGATACAGTTGAAGACCTATAATCAAAAAGGACCTTACAAAATGATCAAATACATCTAAGATCAACTTTTCCTGAGATAATTGATGCCTAAGTTTCTTTATAATTTCACAATTTATAAACGGCCATTCTTTCAAAAGGTTTGGAATAGGTTATTCTGTAGATAAATTTCAAATCGGCAATCATGCCACTTCTTCTTATTTTTATTTGACTTTATATCAATTTCATGAAGGGTCAAAAAGTGGAACGTAATTTTAATATTGTAATGTACTACATTATAGATATGCACTTAACATTCTTATTTATAGCTTGAGAATATGTCCATCTGAGAAACACATGACATATAATGTAGATTCGTGACTGACAATCATTATAATTTTTATTCATTGAGGTTCCAAAAGGTTGTAATAATGAATAGATAAGTTAGTTATTCAACAATTTGGCAATAAATTAATATTGTTGAAAAGTTATGTCATAGAAATCCTTTACCTAGACCTCTTTTCGACTTTTATAAACTAACAGATTCAGAAGATTTCACGTAGACTTGTGAAAACACAGCAAAAATGAAGGTTGTCGCTATTCTTCTCTGCTTTATCGGTATGTTTAGGTATCAGTTAATGTATTTTTGTATCTTGAAATTTCAACATGCATAGAATATGTTTAACGTGCTATTAGATATAAGAGTGTAGGGACTTAATTATTTTTATCAACAGTTTATTGGTACTTGGTTTGAGTTTCCTTGCAGTAACTTCCAACATTTTTTCAAACGTCATATCATAATTTGTTATTTTGATATTTTGTTATTTATTTTATACGTTTTTAAAATAATCTTAAAGTAATTGCTTTTTATGCGTGAATTTTTATTATATGTTCGTTTATCTACGTTTTATGAGTACACTAATTGCGATTCAAAAAGGGTGGAGTTGAGATGTAGGAAAATAATTTAAACCTGCCACATATTTATGTACCTGTAGCAAGTATGAAACTTCGCCAGTTGTTGTCTCATGTAAAATCCGAATGTGGTTGGGAGTTTGTTTTGGTTTATATTTATTTATTTTTTTTGTTTGGTGTTGTGTACAGATGTTTTATTGTTTCCGTTATGTGTTAGTTTGTTCATACCTATTTTAGACACTAAGCGTCTTAGTTTAAATTAACTAACGACATTGTTTCGTGGTCTTTAATCTATAGATAACAGAATACATGTAGTCGTCTTATCTACTATGTTACCAATTATGTCCTATTTACGATTGTGACATTCTTACTAAATGTAGAATCGCATTACGGGTTGTTAATGCATAGCAAGAAGTGCTTACCATGCCGACACACTCGGTCTCGCGGCTTTTGGAGGTCATGCAGCTCCCTCAGATATTTGTGTTACCTTGATTTATGTCTTCATTGTCAATTTATGAGATTTGAACATTGGTTAACAACTGTTGCATAAATTAAGAATCGTTAGAAGATTAAGAGCTTATTATGTTGTATAGGCAGCTGTATATTGTAAATACTTTAAATCACCCTCTAGATATGTTGTATAGACAGCTGTATATTGTTGAATACTTTAAATCACCCTCTAGATATGTTGTATAGGCAGCTGTATATTGTTGAATACTTTAAATCACCCTCTAGATATGTTGTATAGGCAGCTGTATATTGTTGAATACTTTAAATCACCCTCTAGATATGTTGTATAGGCAGCTGTATATTGTTGAATACTTTAAATCACCCTCTAGATATGTTGTATAGGCAGCTGTATATTGTTGAATACTTTAAATCACCCTCTAGATATGTTCTTGTTTCTTTGGTACCTTGTATGCTGTCTCATTGAAATTCACCCCTTATCTACTTTTATTCCTATCGAATTCGAATCTTCAGCATACTTTATCGAATGCAACTGAGATGTGGTGCTTGATATCAATTAGGAACTTTGCATTTTGAAGAAAAAGCATGAAGTATATGAAGTCGATCTGCATTGCTTTCCTTGAAGGGAATTGTGCAGTAAATGAGGAATCTAAGATACAAGAAACACACAGACATACACACAAAATAAAAAGACAAATTGTATTGTTTAATTGAAAACAGACAAAAAATATGACCAATTATTATTGTAATTCACTGCGGTTCTAGACAACATGTAAACGCGTTTTTGATAATTTATCAGATCTTACAAATATCTTCCGTCAACAAGTATTTTTTAAGGAAACAGTTACTAAAAATAGATCGGAACAATAACTCATACTTTACTTAAGGATCTTAATTATCTCACTATTGAGAAATGCATTTTTAGTTGTTTTTGTTCATTTTAAGTTATTTTTTATTTGATTATTTACTTAGTAAACGGGAAATATATGTAGTCCGACTTGAACCCTGTTCCATCGCCTCATACATATGTGTTAAACGTCTAACATTTATATTAAGTATACAACATGCAAAAGCCAATGCTCGTCATCTTCGTACTTTATTTGGCCAATTCATTTTATTGATTTGACCTTCACTGGCGAGTACAAGATTATTACCCTGGTACTTTTGATGAGTATGTTTATGAGACTAGTCCAAACGTCTCTGTTTGTTTACTTAACATGCTCAAGACAAGATTTGTATTACTCCTACATCTCTTTTCTTATTTCGATCACCAGGATAACAATATCACAACGCTTAGCTTTATTTATACCATTGTCATTTGTAAATAAAGGTTTTCTTCCTCCAGGCATAGACCCTGTTTGAAGACCTTTACCATATTTGGCACGATTTTGGGGTTTTTGTTTATAGAATTTCAATGTTCTTTATCTTCGTATTTAAAATGGTCTTCGAGTGATTATGTAGACGATACACACATCTAGCTTACTTAAATATAGGCTTCGTATCTTTGATGAGTTTTAACACGTGATATACTAGTACTTATTTGTATTTTGCTGTAATATTGTAGTGGCAGTATATTGTGAGACATGTACATCATCCAGAAGATGTACACAAACCACATGTACGGACTCGTCTCATCATGTAGTATGCTACATGGGCCATTGCACATGCAGCGGAAGAACAGGACACAGTAAGTGATTACTTTTGTTACAGTAAAGGAAATTTTCAAAAGTAATTGAACAATGGTTCAGAAATTCTTTTGAGCAGGGTAAATCGCGATTAGCATACACTAAGCATATGTAAGTTGCAAAAATGACTTCCGTTTTAGGGCATACTACTTTCGGTAAAAGAAGGTAGTCTGCAAATCGACTATAATTGAGAAATGATCGGAACAATATAGAACATCGGTGAATAGATGTGTGTAGTAATTATGCATTATGAAGCCTTAGCTGTAACCCAAAAACGTAAAATTATATTCTGCTAATACGTACTTAAATATTATGTATTTTTGTATATATTTATTTAAATATAATCTTTAACTTGAATTTTAAGGGGATTACTTATATAACATTACTGTAGGCTTTTCCTGAATGACAAAGTGTTACGATAGGTGATATACGTTAATGAGAAATCATCCCAATAACTTAGTTTTATCGAAGTACACATGGAACCAT